TTTAGTTTAAGAAAAATTCTAAATTTGTAATATCTATTTATGTTTTACTTTATGTTGATGACATGTTGTTAATTGGGCCTGATCTGAAGCAAATAAATGATATAAACGAAATATTTTGAACTGAGTTTGAAATGAAAAATTTGGGCCATGCTAAGAGAATACTCGAAATGGATATAGTTAGAAAAAGATCCTAGTCCTTATAAAATTTGAAACAGTTAGCATGAATCAAAAACTTTCTCTTTGCCATTAGCTAGTCCTTTCAAAGTTAGTAAAGAGAAATGCACAATTGATGAATCTGATACAAGATATATGGAAAAATTTTCGTATGCTTATGTTGTAGGATCTATTATGTATATTGTGGTCTATACAAGACCTGAAGTGGCTCATGCTATCAACACTTTAAGTAGGTTTATGGCTAATCCTGGCTCTAAACATTAGAAAGCTCTTAAATGGCTTCTTGAAGGCACATCAAAGTTAGGATTAGTATTTGAAAATAGTAATGAAGGGATAACGCTTAAAGGTTTTGTTGATGCTGATTTTGCTGATAATAGGGACAATAGAAAGGCTAATTTAGCTTATATGATTATACTATGTGGTACCTATGTGAGCTGGAAGTCTCAGTTATAGCCTATTGTTGTTTTATCAACCATAGAAGCTGAGTATGTGGCTATCACAGAGGTTGTAAAAGATGACTTTTGGCTTAAGGGACTCTAATTTTAAATGAAAGTACTTAATGAACCTGTCATTGTTTATTCTAATAGCCAAAGTGCAATACACCTGTATAAGAACCCTGTTTTTCATGAAAGAACAAAATATATAGATGTAAAGTTGCATTTTATTAAAGATATTATCTTTAGTGAATCTGTCCTTCTTGAAAAAATTCCTACACAATTCAATCCATTAGATATGGGAACAAAGGTATTACCTTTTTCAAAGTTTAAATCATGTTTGGCACTTCTTGGTGTCAATTGGAGAGCTACAAGTGTTCAGAAATCCATTGTCATCATTGTGGAGGTTGTTCGGTTGTGATGCCAAAAAGATTTCCTGGGGGAATGATGATAAAATGCACTAAAGCCCACAATCTGTTTTGTTAATACTTTGTTCTTGCCCAATAACGTGACCTGGTCCAATCCTGGTCGAAAAGCTAAAAATGTGTTTGTCGCATGGCATTTTAACTGTAGCCCAAAACATGTCTTCTTCTATTTTCTAGGGAGCCTCCTGAACCGTTGGATGGTGATCTGATCAATGGCTGATTCTTAGAAGTATATAATTAACCCCTGGTTGCCCTAAAAAAGTTAGACCATCATTTTCTATTGTGCAATTAATGTGTGAGGCTCTTCGAGACTCTTCCGTTCCTATTCTTCTTCGTGTTCTTCCAATCTCTGATTGGAACTTGGAAGTGTATTTTCTGGGTGATTGTTTCTGAGTGAATATGTATATTTAGTGTATTAGAAGAAGTTTGTGGAATGGATTACCCTTGAGGCTTCCTTTAATCGACAAAGGAAAGTTTTAGGGTTTTATGGGTGGATCTTGTGGTCACACAGATGGGTAGAATCTTAGTTTTACTGAGTCTGAGCCCAAAAAATGTAATGATCTTCACATTGATGCCTCGATCTCAATTTCTTGGAAGGATTAAGAAAATATTTGCTCAGTAATCTGATTTTGCACAGTGTTCTTGAGTTTATTGTATATTTTGGTGTCAATATTTTTTCATATAATCTCTCTCTCTATGTTTTATTCTTGTTTATAGGGCAACGTGGAATCATTTACTGAGTTCATCGAGCTGGGTCAAGAATCGTGGCCCTTTTAAGAAGTGGGTTTAGGTATTTCTTGGAGATCGCTCGTGCGAGGACTGTGACTTCTCCATCCAGTCCAACTGAATACATTAACGGGCGAAGTCAGTGGACATTAAATTATTTGAAGGGTGTGTTCCCCATCTGAGGCAGTGTCCTATGTAACATATCATGATCAGTCGAAAACGAAAATATTTTATTGATTGCAAAAAGCATCGAGAAATAGTATTCGGACTTATTACACTGCAAATGCCAAACAAAGAGGATGAGCTCTAAAAATAGTATTCGGACTTATTGCTTGCAATTGAAAGGTGCCAGGTAGGAACACTTGACCAACTAAGGTCCTTCTCAATTATGTCTCAAGATGCTAGAGCCAATCAACTTTGTTAAGGAGGAAAACTTTCCAAATGACCCATTCCCTGACTTCGACATATCTATGGCGAAACTTGAAGTTCTAGAATTTTCCTTTTTTTTTTATTGTCAAATGGCAAGATGTAGTTATTATGACTTATCCCTCTCCTCGTCATTTCGTATTTCATCAAATTGTATCTAGCGAGGTACCTGTATTCCAAAATAATTGGGGATCATGATCTCGACTAAGGAAAACAAAGTTTTCCTAGTCCATACCGCTTCCACGTTCTTTTATAGTGGATGTTAAGCTTCTTCCCAAATTATTAGGTTCCATTGTTTGAGAAAATGTAACGGGGAAACACCAGAAAGATAGATTATAGTTTCTATATAAATTTCCAAGTGTTGGCCTTCTCTACATTGTCGAGGGGCTCGACCTCTTTCCATTTGGTGAAGTAGTTTACATCCACTATTGACATTTGTTGCATCTGCGTATGAAGCGGTTTGTATCCTTCTTAATCGTAGGCCAAAAGTGTCCTTGATCGAGCACTTTTTGGGCCAAGTCATATCATCCAGCATGGTTACTAAATACTCTTTCGTGGAACTCCCTCATGATATACCTTGCATCGTCATCGTCAATGCAACATAGGATGGGCAAGGTGAAGCCTCTTTTGCACAGAATGTCATAGTAGGACAAATTTGGTAGGCCTCATCCAAAGTTTACATAAGACTTCTTTATTTTCTAGGTAGACTTCATACTTTAGTTTCATGTGTTAGAATCAGTGGGTTTGTAGTTTTGCGAGTTAATTCCCCAAATAGTCCTGAACTTTCCCAAAAATTCTCAGGAAGTCATCGAACTTCAAAATTTTCCTAAATAATCATTGAAATTTGCCAAAAGTTCATAGGAGGTCATCAAACTTCATAACTTTCTTAAATAGTCACTGAATTTTGCTAAAAATTCCTAGGAGGTCACTAAACCGGTGATGTATGGGTCCCAATTTGCAAAGTTGAGTGACCCTCTATGAACTTTTTGTAAAATTTAGTGATTATTTAGGAAAGTTTTGAAGTTCATTGACCTTTTGTGAACTTTTGGCAAAGTTTAGTGACTATTTAGGGAAGTTTTGAAGTTTATTGACCTCCTGAAAATTTTTGGCAAGTTCAATGACTATTTGGGTAATTAACTCATAGTTTTGCTTGAGACTAGCAAAAGTTAAGTTTACAGTTATTTTGATAAATATATTTTATACATTTATCTAGATTCATAAATTAACTTAAATTTTGAATTAATTGATGTAATAAAGATACCGACTATTGTTCCAAAAACTTTATTATTATTATTGACCATTTAAATTAATGAAATTGTGCCTGTTTCAAACTTTGATGGGAAAAAAATATCCCATCCACATGTAAGCTAGCTTGTAGAATCTAGACTAAGTCATATAAATATGGCTCTCTTTGTTGTGATATTGTTTCACTTTGACACAATTTATAAATCAATTTATAAATTTTATCCGAACCAATAATTATTTTCCTTTTTCTAATTTTTTTTCCCCATTGCTTTCAGCTCTTAGTTATACATTTATTTATCAATTAGTCGTTTCTTCTCAACTTTAACTAGTTATCGTTTCTTGACAACACAAGAATTAATAAATAAATTATCTTTTAATCTTATTAATTCTATTTCAAATCTTGAAAACCATGCATCCCTAATAACACATGTCTGAGTTAGCAAGAACAATAAAATATGATTATGATTTGTTAATTCGTGTACGTATAACGTAAAATAATAAAAAATTGACTAAAAATTCTCAATATAGTAATTTCGATTTTCAAAAAATAAAAAAATTCAAAGGTTCTAGGACCAAATTGGAAGTTTTAGTCACAATGAAGAAATTGAAAATACGACCACCAAATTGCACTCTTGTGATAAAGAAAGGACCTGGTGTGAATCCACCAGTTTAGCGACCCTTCAGCATGTAAGACTTTGCACCCCTGGGTTTGGCATGTACCCTTGCCAAGGAGAAACTTTTTTAAAAGTAAGCGTACGTGCCACGCCATTAGTCAGTCTTTGGGTTCCTTTTGTAAACCGGTGCTGTACAGCTCGGGGTATTTTGTCACCTGAAAATTTAGGACTTTTCGAGCTCCTATACAACCCTTCTAAACATAAATAGACACCATATTAATACACGACACATCTTGGGGGAAAATTTCAAGAATTCTCTCAAGGCTTCGATGTTTAGAAGAAGGAGTTATTCACAATCATTGTAGATATTCAAAATTAAGTGTGGCTATTCGAGTTCATCAAATACTTGAATTGTTGTGACCAAATTATGACAGTCCAAACTTCTTTTTGAAATTTACTATGAAACCTTATTAAGGTCCCGTTTGGGAGGAATTTTGAAAATTGATTTTTTAACCGTTAGAAGAAAAGTGGGTCCACCTATGAGAGAAGAAGTCAAAAATTATGTTGGAATAGTAAAATAACGGTCAAAAAATAAATTTTTTGGAGAAAAAAATCCATTCCAAACAGGCTGTAACTCTTTAATCTATAAATTGCCCGTTTATAATTTTAATTCTTATTTTGAGTTCTATTTTGTTATTAAATTGTTTAACCATCACAATATACAGCTAATTTTAGATTTTATTTATTTTTTATTCATTTTTTAAACTCAAATGACAAGATTTTCTAAGATTTAACCCCTTGTCTTAGATTTGTTGTTATTTTTTGACTGAAATCATAAGATATTATACTAAGAAACCATAAGAATATAGGGTCGGATAGTTTTCACATATAGGAAACCTTCTTTTACCTACAATATAAATGTAAATAATTAACAAAGAAGATATGTAGAATTGGGATGGAAGCAGAAACAGACATGACACACTCGTTAGAAAAAAACATGACAGAAAGCTTAGAAAAAAATACATATGACAGGATCCTGGGAACATGTTGAACAACACAAAATAATCACTGATTCATTTACAACCACCATATCAAACTGCCACCAAACCTTATTATTAGGAAAGACATACATCATTATAAAGGCATAATTATAATAGCAATTTCCCCATTTATGACGTCATAATAGATATTTCAAACACCACAAAAATCTTTGAGTATATTCTGTGACCTCCGTCCGTGATCTGTATCATAAAAATTGAGCAGATCGACATGAACAAATGGTTTAAATTCCAATGGGTGTTCATTGTCAACTAGCTCTTCTGGCACTTCCACCATACAGCTGAGGAATGAGAATAATGCTATGGTATATCTAGTTTCTCTTCCATTCATGTTCATTATGACTTTGTGATTTGGAGAAAGCACCCGGTCGTTGCTCCATGCCTAAGCCAAGGAAGAAGAAATTAGTATACATATAATTGCATAATTTGAATTCATTTTCTAGCAGCAGGTATTTAGACTTGGGGTTACATCTTAAAATGTCAACCTTATTAAGATTTGTAGCCCAAATCATTATAAGTTGATCTATATTTTCATTTTTATTCGATTTGAGATTTTATCCCTTAAAAACAGAAGTGGGGAGAAGTATGCCAACATATGAAATCGTGTTTAGGTGTATGATAGAAAAATGATACTATTGTACGTGTGAAAGAGCAAGTTTAAATGATATAATTAATAAGTTTCTCTCGTATGGTGTAAGATTGAAGACGCGTGGTTCAACAATAACTATTTGTATTCACCTTGCATGCATCGCCAGCCATGACTACAAAGGACAATGGGGGGAACTCCACATTGATCCACTCCCCGTCTCTTGCTCTAATTTCCAAGCCAGAAATATGATTCTGATACAGTATGGTGAGGAAGCTCTTATCGGTGTGAGAGGGAAATGCCATCGTAGTTTCGTCTGCTTTAGGGGCTCGATATTTCAAGAACCGAAGAAGATAGGTAGTCGATTCAATGTGAGAATCCGTGTATTTCTCCACGCTATAGCTTTCAAATAGCATCCTTATCACAATCTTTTCCAACTCTGCTACTGTCCTGGCAAAGGACATTGAACTCTCACTGACATGTAGAAAAAATTACATTAGTGGTTGGTTTTTAGGTTTTATTATCAACTGTGGAAACTGTCAGTAAAAAATATATACAATTTTTACTATAATCAACCAAAAATGCGGTTAAAACATACCAGAAAGAATCATTTCCATTAGGCCACATTAGCTTTGTGAAACTTTGAGCTCCTTCAAGTGTTGTTGCATAATCAATACCTAAGCCTTCATGTAGAGGCACAATAGGCATTTGCCCCACATAGCCATGGTAGGGTTTTTCATTGATATTTTGGATTTTTACCTCAGTGGGAAGATCAAATAACTCATCTGCCGCCTGGAATATTGCTTTATGAAGTTGGGGAGAAATTTTATCATATAACGCTACAAAGCAGCCATGGATTTCAAGGGCTCTTCTGATGTCTTTGCATGCAGATGACCAAGAACTTGAACCCGGCTTCAAGTCCTCCTCTGTGAAGTCTACTACTATAAGTTTGGATGCAGTAAAGGAACCCATTATTTCAAGTTTTCTTCTGATTCGAAAGGTTTGGAGACTCCTAAGAAACAAGTTTGAGATTTAAAAGTATTCGATGCTTTTTATACTGCTCTCTCAGTGATTATATAGTTGTTGAATACGAGATCTGCCTAATATATATGTGGTCATTTTTTATGCTTTAAATTTTTAGATTAAATAATTTATTTTATTATATCAGAGTTGAAAAATATTGCTGCAACCATTTAAATTAATGAAATTGTGCCTGTTTCAAACTTTGATGGGAAAAAAATATCCCATCCACATGTAAGCTAGCTTGTAGAATATAGACTAAGTCATATAAATATGGCTCTCTTTGTTGTGATATTGTTTCACTTTGACACAATTTATAAATCAATTTATAAATTTTATCCGAACCAATAATTATTTTCCTTTTTCTAATTTTTTTCCCCATTGCTTTCAGCTCTTAGTTATACATTTATTTATCAATTAGTCGTTTCTTCTCAACTTTAACTAGTTATCGTTTCTTGACAACACAAGAATTAATAAATAAATTATCTTTTATATTAATTCTATTGCAAATCTTGAAAACCATGCATCCCTAATAACACATGTCTGAGTTAGCAAGAACAATAAAATATGATTATGATTTGTTAATTCGTGTACGTATAACGTAAAATAATAAAAAATTGACTAAAAATTCTCAATATAGTAATTTCGATTTTTAAAAAATAAAAAAATAAAAAAAAATCCTTATCCAATTTTTGTTAGGGGCTGCTAGTTTATTGAAGCATTTTAACAAAATAGCCAATTAATTAAAATTGTACCAAGGTCATTAAACTCCTAGAAAAGTATTAGGAGGCACCTATCAGTAATTAATAAGTAAAAAAGATAACAGAAAAAAAAAAACATAGGATTAAAATTAATACTCCATTCATATTCGTATCCATCTTCGTATAATTTATCTTCATCACATAAATTCTTCATTATTTCTTAAACCCAATACTGATGACCAAAGACCATAGGATTAAATTATCGGTCCTTTATTAAGCATAAATAATGTTACCCATATTTTAGAATGGTATAAGTTGTCTTTTATTTAATACCGATGAAAGCTACTAAAATAAAAAAATTTAGAAGATGCTAAATCGATAATTGACCCCTTGGGATTGGAGTTAAGTGTGATGGAAGAATATGTCGTGGACCCTTCCCGATTGTGAAGGAAAATATAATTAAGATGTGGACCGGAAAATCAAAAGTTTGTCGTGCTATAAATTTTAAATGGTTTGATGGTAACATATGTATTAAAGAAAATATTACCAATGTTAAGTTGATGTTACTGTGAGATTGAGTGTATGTCAGATGTGATATGCCAAGATATTACACGTAAGATAAGTGGTCCAAACGTTGAATGTATCATAGTCGATTGATTAAAAATTAGATTAAGGTCTTTATTCCTCACTTCTTTAATTAAATTTTTCTTTTCATATGATCGTCGATGGTTTGTCAGCCACTTTTAATTTGTTGCTTTTTTTATGGGAGTCGTTTTTGCTTCCTTTTTTTTCCCCATTTTCATTGTGTTTAGCAAGATTTTTTCCCAACAGATAAAAGGATATTGGATCGCCTACGGGGTTAATCAAGTAATTTCCATCATAATTAATTTATTTCACTGTCAATCATGAGTTAATTACAATTGTGTATATATGGTTATTACCTTATTTGAGTTACTAAGGCCCTGTTCTCTTTACCGTTTTCGGGTCGTTTTCTGTTTTCGATTTTCAAAACGGTGAAAACGTGTTCTCTTTCCCGTTTTCGAAAACGAATTTTCGAAAACGAAAAAAAATTTGTGAAGAAAACACAAAACGACTTTTTTGTCGTTTTGGGCGTTTTCAGTGTAAAACTTGAAAAAATTGAAAACGCTAAAAATTAAAAAAAAAATTTTGAGGAGATAGTGTGGTGATTCTCAAAATTTCAAAAAAAATTAAAAATTAAAAAAAAAATTTTGAGGAGATAGTGTGGTGATTCTCAAAATTTCAAAAAAAATTAAAAATTAAAAAAAAAATTTTGAGGAGATAGTGTGGTGATTCTCAAAATTTCAAAAAAATAACATAAAAATTAATTTTTTTTTTTGGTGTTTTGAGGTGGTGTTGTGGTGATTCTCAAAATTTAAAAAAAAAATTTATTTTTTTTTTGTTTTGAGAAACTAACAAAAAGAACGCATTTTCAACAATTTCAAAACAAACACTCAAAACACAAAACTCAAAATGAATTCAAAACTCAAAACACAAAACTGAAACACAAAGAGAACACCCCCTAATATTTTGGAGCAACTATAATTCAATATACTCTCTAATCTCTAAGTTGTCATAAGGTTATTTTTTAAGTTTATGAATTAACAGTATAGAATTTGAATAAGAAATTATTCTAGTAAATATAAAATTTTTCAATTCTAGATATATGATTAGCTATTCTCCAGTGATAACATCGAATTAAGTTGATGAGATTAATTTTAAATAATTTAATTATATTTAAATAGAGATTTCGCGGAAAGATGATTTTGAAAGGATACCTAAAATTATAACTAATGATTATTGAATAAAAAAATAATTTAAGTGCAATTTCAATTCAACATCAATTAGGACTAAATTATCGTCTTATTTTTCTTTTTTTCATTTTAGTATAATAGCTTTACAAGTGACTCCATAAGAGTGAGATGTTCTTTATTTAAGAAAGTCAAGGAAATGAGGCTCCATTAAACTCTTTATTAATTTTTCCAATTACAGAGAAAATTTAACCATTTACATTTGAAGAGCAACATCTTGAAGAACATCTTTATTTTTAAAAAGCATCATGATATTGTTATGAATTGGGATTTCATCTTAAAATATCAATCTTATTAAGATGAATAGTCCAAAATCTTATAAATTAGTTTATGTTTTTATCTTTAATTGATATGGGATTTTATCCCTTAATATGATGGTGGCTCGTTTGAACAAAGCAATCTTGAACTCTGTTTGTTCATTTATTGAGTCTTAATCAGATCGAATCACTCGTTGGAGTTTAATGAGCTCTGATAACATTTTGAGATTTGAGGTTTCATCTTAAAATGTCAATATTGTCAAGAGGAGTAACCCAAAACATTATAAGTTGGTTTATATTTCCATCTTTATTCGATATGGATTTTATCCCTGAACATGCTCCCACAAGATGATGACTTGTTATGAGTAGATCAATCTTGAAATCTACATGCTTATTTATTGAATCTTAATTAGATCGAATCGCTTGTTGGAGTTTCACGTGCTCTGATACTACGTTATGATTTGGGATTTCATCTTAAAATGTCAACCTTACTAAGATGAATAGCTCAAAATCTTATAACTTGGTCTATGTTTTTATTTTTAATCGATATGGGATTTTTTATCCCTTAACATACTATCGCGAGATGGTGACTTGTTTGAATAGACTAATCTTGAACTTTGTATGCTCATTTATTGAGTTTTAATCATATCGAATCACTCGTTGGAACTTAATAGGCTCTGATACCATTTTAAGATTTGAGATTCCATCTTAAGATATCGACCTTGTTAAAAAAAGTAGCCCAAAACTTTCAATGTGAAATTTTATCCCTTAACGTGCCCCACAAGATGATAGCTCGTTTTGAGCAGATTAATCTTGAAATTCGTATGCTCATTTATTGGTCTTAATTGGATCGAATCGTTCACTGTAGTTTTTCATGAGCTCTGATACTATGTTATCACTTGGGGTTCCATCTTAAATGTCAACCTTATTAAGAGGAGCAGCCCAAGACCTTATAAGTTGATATATGTTTTTATCTTTAACCGATGTGGGATTTTATCCCTTAGCGGATCATAATAAATAGTATCTTTAAATTTAAAGAGTACCCAACAAATATTTTTTCCGCTTCATTTTACTTCTTCATAATCATTTATTTTCTTGTTGGTTGGATTTTGATGCCCAATGAATCTCGGTTAATGAAGTAAACATAGAATTGAATTTCATAAGCATTTACTGATGAGTGTTGTTATCAACAGCAAGTGGACTATTTCATTATTTTATGGTATTAATTGATTCTTCTACTAAATGATCACATGTTTACCTACTTTCGACTAAGAATGTGACATTTGCTAGACTACTTGCTCAAATCATAAAATTACTAGCAATCTTCAATTACCTAATCAATACTATTCGTCTATTACAATGCTGGTAAATTTAGATCACAAGCATTTAATGATTATTTATATCAATTGGGATTGTAATTGAATATTAAGTTGTACATATCCATATACATAATGGTTTAACAAAGTCGTTTATTGAATATCCACAACTTATTGTTAGATGATTACTTATGAAAACAAAACTCCCATCTTTTATTTTGGGTCATGTCATATTATATTAGCATCACTAGTTCATATAAGACCAACTGTCTATCATCAATATTCATCTTTGCAACTTGCATTTGGTCATGAGCTTGATATTTCTCACCTATGAGTTTTTTGTTGTATTGCCCGAATCCTTATCTCACCCCTACAATATACTAAAATGGGTACCCAACAAAGACTTAAGATTTATGTGGATTTTGATTCATCATCTATTATTAGATATATTGAACCTTTAATGAGTTATTTATTTACTGCACGTTTTGTAGATTGTTATTTTGATGAAATGGTTTTTCCAACTTTGTGAGGGAAAAAACTACATCCTAAAAAATAGTGTAAATTTTTTTGGAATGAAACAACTCTATCTCATTTTGATCATTACAGCAATCAATGTGACAAGAGATTGAAAGAAGCATTCATCTGTAAAATATTGCAAATCAATTACCCAATGTATCTATTGAAACAAGAAAAATGACAAACTAATTTATAACAGTAGAAAATATTCCGACGAAAATCGATGTCCATGTAGAACAATCTACTGTAGCAAATGAATCTCAAATACGTCAGAAACATGGTGGACCAGTTAGTCCAAAAAACTCTGTATCTTAAAAAGGTACAAAAGAAAAACTAGCACAAACTTCGGAAGAGGTAACATTCGAAAAGAATAATCAATTAAATATTAAAAATATTGTCCCTAAAAAATCACAAGTGT